TTTTTATTGAGTCCATTCATAATTATCAAAAAGTTATGTTGGGACCTAAAAGACCAATAAAATTATTTTCATCATTTTAAATTTCAGAAAAAAAAACTGTAGTAACTTCATTTCTTTAACACCTGATGTCAGCTAATTAAACATTTTGAGCAAGAATCACCATCGTACTGTAGCAAGTTTAAGGGCAGGGTAGGGACCAAATGGGTTGGTAGCTTCCCACACACACTTATGATTTACCTTGCACTGGTCTGAATGACTCCACAAGGGTCAACCCCCTGATGCTGTGGGCTTTCTGTTCTTAGTCCTGAAACTCGAATATATAAAATAACAAATGAACAGAGGACTAGAGAATCTTGTAACACAGTGAGAAAACTTGAAGTGATTAGTTGGTCTAATTCTAACATAATACAAGCTGTAGCACTTCTGGCTGCTTTTTGTCTGTCTGCCCATAACGGTCCGGGCCAGCAGCACGTGCACCGCCCGAAGCCTCGCTCACAGGCAGACACATAGACAGAGATGGCTGGGGCCAGGCTGTGCTCCCCACTGCAGGGCATGGTGGGGTGGCTGGCTGTGTGGGGGGCATGGGTTGCCACCGCATGGGGGGCTGTGGCTTACGACCATGCAGGGGGGCATGGCATGTGGCCGTGTGGCGGGGTGGGGGCTGGAGTGAGGCTGCAGGGTGCTGTGCGGGGAGTGGGCAGGGGGGATACAAGGAGCGCCCACCAGCTACAGCACGTGGCCGAAGGGTGGGGTGCGCCCCCCATGTGGCCAATCCCTACGCGGCACCCTGCGGCTGTGCACTGGGCCCTGTCCCACACAGCCATGTGCCACCCCTCCCCCCGCATGCCACATCCCCTGCGCAGCTACAAGCCATGCCCCACGGGACATGTGGGGAAGGGGCATGTGAGGGGCAGATCATGTGGAAGCAGGGTGCCATGCGGGGAGCAGGTGGGGGGGGTGCAAGCAGTGCCCACTGGTTGCAACACGTGGTCTTGGGGTGGGGCGCACCCCCCACACCCACTCCCTGCGCAGCACCCTACTGCTGCATGCCACCCCCTCTTCCCCCCATATGATATCCCCCCATGTGGCTGTGGGGTGGGGGAGGGCATGTTGCATGGGGATGTGGTGTGCGGGTGTGCTGGATGCGCCCTGCATTGGTGGGGACCATGATGTGCCGCCACAAGGGGAGTAGGCAGGGGGGCATGGGCAGCGCCTGCCATCTGTAGCACGCAGCCGTGGGGTGGGGTATGCCCCCCATGCCCGCTCCCCAAGTGGCACCCTATGGCTGCATACAATGTCCCCCTGCATGTCCTCCACTACACCCTGGGGCTGCACCCCATGTCACGTGGCCACAGCCAACAGGCACTCCCTGCACCATGGCCACTCCCCTTGTCACATCCCGTGGCCAAGTACCACCTCTGCACATGCCCTGCACCACAGCCCCCACATGTGCCCTGCTCCACACACCCCCTGCGCCACACCCAGGAGCCGCTCTCTTTGCTACGCATCTGTCAAGCTCTCCCCGTGCTGTGGCCACTCTCCATGGTACACCCTGCAGGTGCATGCTACCCCGCTCCTGTGCTGCCATGCACCACCTTCCCTTGCACATGGAGCAGCAGGTAAGGGGTGTAGAGCAGGGCTGGACACAGAGCGGCAGGGGGAGTGGGGCACGACCCAGAGAGCTGGCAGAAAGGCGGGAGAAGCAGGGCAAGACCTGGAGTGGCAACCAGGGGGTGTGGAGAACGGGGCAGGACCCAGAGTGGCAGGAGGGAGCGGGGGAGGAGAGCTGGACCTGGAGCAGCAGGAGGAGGGTGCAGGGCGAGATGCTGGTCT